AAATGCCACAGAGATTGCTAAATCAAAATCATCGTCGAAGGCTATTTCTGGCACAGTGACTTTCACTGACTACGACTCGGTCTTTGACTTGATATCAGACACTTCTGCGGAGCACAACATCAGGCAAATGTCACCACACTCCTGGGTGTGCATTGCTGAGGACAAATATGTCCTTATGAATACAGAGGGATCCTACATCAAACTAGAACGTATTTTCAAGGAAGAAGATGGGGATGATAATTATGTTGTCACAGAGTATAAGGCTATACGTCCAGACATCCAGAAAACTCTTTTAAAAAAGACCCCTTTCAGGAAGCCACGGGAAATCGCAAAAGCACTCACGTTCGACGATGCAATTCATGCAGCAGATAACTATGCCAGCAAGCAATTTCCGTTTCAATTTATTTCAAGGCGGCAGCAATGGCGCCAGAGAGATGCAACGGAAGGACAGTTGATATTTTTGAATAAATTAAGACTGAAAGGAGACCAATTGAAACCTGGAGACATCACAAAGGGCAAAGCTATGGATATGATCACGAAGATTAAGCATGGGGCACGTGGTAGATTTGCCACCCTTGAAGCAGATAGGAGGAGATCAGGACGTGCAAGGCTCAGGATGGAACAAGAGCAAGCCTTAAAAGAAAGGGAAAAGGTTAGCGTTGGACCTCTAATGGGCTAAAGAGGCAACGATATTTCATCTTATACTACTTATGTATTTGTCTTGTTCTTTGATACCCGCATAGTTTTGCATCCTTCAGAACTCTCCTACATTGACAGCGTAGATTTTTGACCGCAAATGGAAATACGAATCATAAAGATATTTAGTGGTCCCTTTCTACCAGCTATAGAAGTTGCTCACCTCATATCATCATTGCTAAATGTTACTGATGGCTACGTAAACCGAATCTACCAGAGCTATTATTTGTAAGTGGAAACTTCTTGGTTCAACCTCAAAACTCATGGCAATGGACTTCTGATGCTATGCTTGTGGTAGAGAAAGGGTGTGTAGCTGAAGTGCGCCATAATCAGTAGGGTCACAGTTTAGAGGGGCTTTCCAAGTTAACTTCGACACGCCTCGCTTCTGATTTGGCTTTCTACACCTTCAACATCACCACAGGAAAATACCAAACATTACCACGAACTCAGTAAGCATCACTATCGGCTTTTAAGCAAGTTTGATTCAATTTGAAGCGGAGGAAGGTTTGTCCGGAGCTCAGCCTCGCCGGTATGGGTGAGTCGCACTTCCCTCTATCTCTATGAACCCTTATTGCATATCGCAATTCACCGACCACCTCAGTTGCTCCTGCACTTTTCGCATTAAAAATTCCCTGCCTCAAAATGGCGTTCTACAAGCCTCGGGGAGTTACTGATTCGGAGCAGGAACTACCTTCTGAATCCGAAGAGTTCTCCGATCAATCTCTGTCTCCCATCCCACACAGACACGACCAAAAGATGACCACCGCCAACATTCGAGAGGTGGCGGCTAGGGAAGACGACGATGCAGCACGGGCAAAGCCAAAGAAATATTATCCGGAGTTCGAACCGAATACCCAGAATATTCTTCGAGGTGGATTTCAACAGGTTGAGCGCAACTCCCCTGTTGGCTGGAGAGTCTTCCCACCCGCTGGAAATGACAAATATCACTTGACAAGCCAATGCTATGATCCAAAGTTGCATAATCTTTCTGCTCGGGATAATGGGCCTCGCTACGAATCAAGGAGTCCGACAGCAGAGGAGCGGGCGGAAAATGTAAACAGGATGCTCAAGGAGATGTGGGCAGCAACCCCCAAAATAACCAAGGGAGAGAAAATGGCTCAACATATCAACTTTGCCCGTCCATCCTGGGTCATGTTCACTCCTGGAGTTAGTGGGGTCTTGTATCCCGAAGAGGACCAACGGGAGGATTTTATCACCAACATCAACGAAAACAAGGATGGTGGAGGCGAACTCGAGTTTTGCTCTAAGTGCAAGCAGTATCACATTCCTCCTGGATCGCCAATCACTCTTGGAGATCGAGATACCTGCTTTTCTGGTTTACCTGACTGGTTTCCTAAGGACACTCCAAGAAACCCGTGGGACATGTATACCGATATGTTGAACGAGTATGTTGTGTTGGAGGAGGTTGAGCGCGGCTTCACCCATCGCAAGGACCCTGGAAAACCACAATGGGACCTCCACTACCATGACAAGAGCCCTGGCTGGTGCACGCCTACGCGCCAGGCAAAGGGAGGATGGTGGAAGTGTCGGTCTGGACCAGACGCACCCTTTGCCGAACAAAGTTGTGTTCATTGCCATGCCCCCAAAAAACCCGAACTAGATGCCAAGGGAAGACCAAAGATACCTATTGCCCAACACAAAATTATGATGCTTGATTACATAGAGACGCGATTCAGGGCACAAGGCGAGAAAGATAAGCAAGTAGTCTTGTCAATGTTTCACAAAAATGGTATTCCACAATACCTTGGTCCTCCACTCAACGAAACAGTTCGTGAAGATATGGTTCACAAGCGGGATATGATGCGATCTACGTCAAAGCGCAACATCACTAGATCACTTTCTGCGCTATCACTTACAACCTCACCGTTAACTATGGCCTACATGATTGATCCAGAGGCTGACGCTGACAGCGAATCTTCCTCTATTCCACACACTTCTCCTGTCACTGCGTTGTTGCCACGATTTGAGATTGGGCCACGGTCACCATAGAGTTTGCTTTTGTACATGATGATAGATACGGCGTTAGTATGGATGGAGTTGGTTGTATACCCGTTGACATAGGAGTTGTTTGCTGCCTTGGCAACTGAATAACGTTGGCTGAATTGCACAGCGAGGTGCTCATGATTCATGACTCACGGTCCTTTACTCTGGTTTGCACATAGACTACATAGTGATGGATGCCACATGTATAGTACTTCAGGGATGAGCATAGGAAAATTGCGAGGCGTACTACCGAACACCAGAACTGTATCTTCATGATATCCCTGTATTGTTTTGCTCGCTAAGCTTGTTGCCTAGCCCCTTTCTCGCTGTAAATTGCTGAAGAAGGATAAAAGTTCTTGTAATTATAATAAAAATAAGAAGCCATGTGTATTGAACATCATCGAGGCCATAATTACATCTCTACCACGAAAAGAGCCACTACGAATATTAATCAAGTGAATGACAACACCCGAAGAATCAAGATCTAGCCAAGTTCAGTAAATACATAGACCTCATCTTCGAAGACGGCGGTGCAAATCCTAATACCTACTTTAAGGCATTAGCAAATCACAAATAATTATACAATTAAATAATTAAATGTGGACTTCAATTTTGGCATGATGCGCTACAACAAAAACTTCTGTAGGAGTTTGAAATTCATGGGCAACGAGAATGAAGACATGATCAGGAAGCAAACCAACCGCTGTCACAATAATGGTGATGAGTAGATGAGGCATTCCCAGATGGCATTGAATAAACCCAGCAAGAAAATGTATGCCATATTGAGAGAAATCTAAACTAAGAAACCTACCCTCAGCCCAGCTACATTCCTTAACACCTTTCCAGATGCAAGTGATGAGCTGATAAAAATTCGACAACAATGTGCTAAATATCCTACTGAATAGAAAGTTATAATGAATGGTATAGTAGTCATTTGTTGAAAATGGTCGATTGGTATAGTAAGACGACCAAAGTGTTTGTGCCTGCAAAGTGCGGGAGCATCTAGAAGCGTGAGGATTCGGCGGGTTCGAGGCAACATTGATAATAAGTGTAATTAATATGGCAAGATGTATAAGTTTTAGTTTCTTCATCATTACTGATGTCCCTTCCGTAAAAAATTTGCCCTTGGGTTTCCAGGGCAGGGCCTTTGCCACCGTAGGATCTTTCTCGCAGGACTACTATATAGTATTTAGCTAGTTCGCGGATACTGAAACCTACCTTAGAAATTTTAGAAAGAAAATCATGGATAGCCAGAACAGGCTCAAAAGCTCTACGAAGAAAAAATGGTATGTTTGGAGTCATTTTCAGTGGGATGCTTGTTCGACTTCTTATTTGTGTTTGGCTCTACATAGGAAGGGATTTCACTACATGGGCTCTTCAGAGTGCTAGCAACATTGATTGAGTTACAAGACATGGGTTATGATTGGGGCGGATAGCGAAATGCGGTTATGTGGTATGAATATTACTGGCGTTGGCTACCCTTTCAATGCCGGCAGAGGTTGTACAGCAGTGTTGCACTAGCTTGAGTGCTCTCCCTTGGGTTTCTCTTCAGCAATGAAATAACAATCCAACAAACCTTTCGTTACCCAAAGCTGCCGCTAAGGCATAATATCATTTTGAATGCCTTTAGGGGTGTTTTGTAATTGCGGAAGCTCTTCAAATCTTCAACTTGGAAGTACTTCCTCGTCCAGGTCTCAAATACAGCTTCATCAATGTGGGACAATCATAAGTGGAATAACTTATACAGGGGCTCAGAAGATCAACTATTTAGTTTCCCTGATCCGAATTTTCTTCCTGCATGCAAAAAGTCCGGTATATCAAATAGGATCGTGATTTCTGTATTGCGGTATTCGAAGTGAAAAAGACCTCCTACCGTTTTCCGAATCAGGAAGAGATTGTAGAAATCGTCTAAGTAGCTGCATGTACTGCCGTATTGCAATAGCATATCCAATGACTTGAGGAAAGAAGAAAAGTGGTTAAGATGAGAGCTGGGAGGTGCGCTGGCCATCTGCTTCCTATGATGAAAATCCCCAAGGGCGGCGGCGCACATCGCAGAAACAGTGGAGTATAATAAGTTACAATGCATCATAATCACGTCTCGAACCTTCCGCATACTTCAACATGAAGTGGCCCACTCGTCCCCCACCCCCCAATTCTCCATGTTCTCCCAACTTCCACAACCTCACCATAAAACTCGCTTAAAATTTTCTCTCCCTCCTTCAACCTACTCCACAACTTCGGCACAATTCTAAACGCTATATATAAGTTTCAAAAAGCGGTATCATATCACAATTCGTCTAGGGCTTGTGGTTTAGTGGTATAATATTCCCTTAGCATTGAACGCGGTGTATGGGAATGGTCCAGGGTTCGATTCCCTGCAAGTCCAGTTAAATCTCTTTTTAAGGGGATTTTTTTGTCCACAGATAGAACCTGCGTAAATGAGACCAGTGGTTCAATTGGATTTTTGAGAGGAATTTTTGTATTATTATTATGGGCAGCGACTATATACTTGTTTCGGTTTAAGTCTGGTGGGTAGAGTGATGTGATATAGAAAAGTGTTAAGGCTGTGATTAGGTGCTTTTTTTTATTTTTCGAAATCTATCTTTTGAATGTCGTTTTCGGCGAGACCTCGGACACCGAGATAACGTGTGAAAATCAAGCATATGTACTCGCGAGAAATGAGAGAGATGGAATGAAATAGGTTCAGGATTAAGATGAGAGACCATGAGTATGACCAGACATGGACTAGATTTTTAGATTTGCTAATGAATCTCAGAAAATTTTCAAACTGCTATGAGAAGAAACTCAAAGATAGATTATAAGTGGACTGTTATTTTGAACTTTTGTAATATAATATGAGACTTGACTTGAATACTGACAGCTCCCGCACCTAATAAAAATTCAAGATATAGCGATGCAGAAGGGGGAAAAGTTATTAAAAGTTGTAATTAGCAAAAATATAGAACTAAGGTCAGTGCATGAATATGGAAAAATTCCTGGTATATTTTCTTAAACGTAGCTAGTTTTTGAGCAACAAGAATACATTGATTGGTATGGTGCTAGAACTGCTGCAGGATATTCTGAGAGTGGGAGACGGAAGAATTTCACTTAGATACTGAGTGCATATGTCACAGATATTGTACAAGGGTGGATTCGAATCTAAGTACATTTCCTCATTCATTCTTGGCTGTGGTGGATTTCCTCCTGGGAAAAGCAAAAGAAGTTGTTGGGAGTGTCTGTACTGTATTTTGGTTAGAAGATATTCAGCTGCTGATTTCAATCCACGTCATGTCTTATTCCGAGCGGAAAGTCTAGACATCGGTATTGTTGGAACGGTTGATCTTCTACGAACGGAAGATCGATAGGAGAACCGCTGGCCACAGTCACACTAGCAAGTTTCGTGTATCTGAACTGGACTAATGTTTGATTGTTTGTTAGAAGGGGAAGGGGGGTTGCCAGTGTCTATTCCTGTAGATGTAATATTTAAGTCTAATGAGCTTGTTGTTATTTCCCGGATTTTTGAAGTTGAGAGAAAACTCTATTTCAATCTTTCTATGTCATCCATCTTTGTAAATTCGAGTGTCCGAGGGTAGAAACGTAGACAATTATTGAAGTTGTAGCATTCCTGAAGCCGTCTGGAACGATGTAGGAAGTAGTAAGGGACGGATACAAATTTAGACGCGGGGTCGAAAAATTCTAAATAGGGGGGCTTACAATAGTGATGATGAAGTCATCACCTGATGAGCTACTAGATAATTATTTCAACGAGAAGAACAAAGTGATTGGTTGTAGCATCGAAGAACTGGTGGGTATTTCAGTAAGCCGCAAAACCTCAACCAAAGAAAGTAAGGAAACAAATGGTCGATCGTTTCCAATTGCAACACGTCTCAAGATAGGGGCCCTGGCGATCCGATGAGGGCACGGATCAGCTTGGAGCAGGTGGGATTTTGCCTGCGAGTGCACAGAGGACAAAGGGAAGTTGCTGGCCTTTGGGTGAGGCTTCGACACGAGAAATGTTTCTGGTGAGTGGCAGAAAACATGCCATTTCCTTTGCGAAGACTAAGATACGGGTTCGTCGGGAGGATCAGATAGTAAAGGCTCAGAAAAAAGAATGGATGAGGGGTTGAAAGACAGTCAAGTGGAGAATGGAAACTTGGATGAGAAATAATCGTTGATGGAGCAGACGCAGGAGCTATATCTCCAGGCCAATCGCAGCCGTGCACGAGGGTGTTGTACAGTGTTCTTATGGCTATGGCCATGATATCCGAGACAAAGTCGATGGTGGTTTGGTGCTGCTTGTGGGCTAACCTACTACGTAGAACTGGGTTTCGAGCTTGGCTGCTCACTTGTCTGGGCTTAGCACACCCTTTTGAAGCTCTCCCAAGCTTCAACTGCTGCCAAATCGGATACCGAGCTTCGGGGCAGCTACTGGCAGCTTTATTGCTTGATAATATCAAATTCGCACATTGTACGAGTCCAGAGAGCTCGGCGTTTGGTTTGTTTGACACGCAAACAAGCCCTCGTCATCGTGTCGACTTGCTTTTTGATAATATCTGCACAGGTCTTCCTTGAGTAGCTTCCTTGTATCTCACCTGCGTGGACTGTGCTGCCATCGTACCAAGAAAGCTCAAGCACAGGCTCAGACTCAGGCTCAAGTCTATCGTTGTTCCTTGAGCTCCTTCTGGTGTGTAGCGTCGACAAGCTGATCTGCAGTGCGCTCAACGGAAACAGGCCATCATTCATCCTTTGACTTTTGCCTTTCTTCACACATTTCGGGTGCCCATTTGGAGGCACTGCGACACAAACGTAACAAGTGCCCAACCCTGCTCTCTGCCTGTCGCGGTTTGACTGCCTCTGACTGGCGAGATCTCACTTCAGCCAGAAGAATCAGAAACTTTGTCGTCGAGGACACTTGCTGCTGTTTCGTGGACGGCGGGAGGTGTGGTTTTACTGCTGGTCACGGCCTATCCGGTGCCTCCATCCCAATCTTTTGTTCAAAGTTCCGGCGCCCCTGTGCAGTAGGCTTGTCCTTTCGGCACACCCCCATCGTCAACCCCGGCCCAGCCAGACATCAGCATCTTCCCACCCACAAAAGCCTGTCTGGCCATCCGCCCACCTGCCCTGTCACGATTCGGCCTGTACGGCTCTCCACGCTACGCACCATTTGACCCATCATCGTGGCAGTGTGTGTTTTTCGCTTCGTGCCCTGGCACTCTGCTCTCACACCTGCATCCTCGCTCCACCCTCGCCCTTGAGGAGTCCACAGAGCCCGCCCTCCATCGCCTTCTCTGGCTGGCTACGAACCCGCCTGGTGCGCTTGCTTATCACATCAGCCCAGCTTCACTGCTGTGCTGCGAGTCTTACCGAACTCTCCTTCCTACAGGCACGAGACTTCTCCTGCCGACGACGTCTTCTTCTTCGAATACCAGGACGAGTGCCTCCAACATGAACAAATTAGCAAACATGAGGCATTGGTCTGAGAGGATGGGTCCAGGCTTCGGTATGTCGAGGCAGCCGAACATGAATATGACCGCCATCACGCCTCAACACAAGACGACTCATGGTGCCTCTCCCATCCTATCTCCCACCTCCGAACAAGCACACATTCACTACTCCTTCAACGTCCCTTTCGCCTCGGATCTCGCGGGTCCTAATACAGAGGACATTCTGTACGCAACCAACGATGCAGTCCTCCGATGGACACATCCTGAAGACGCGCCAGACGATGTCCCGATACATGATTTACCGGTACACGCGCAGAATGTGATGAACTTGAGGAAGCTATGCAAGGATATCACGAATGGCCCTCTACCCATCGAAGCTCACGTTAAGTCATCAGAGCCAAAGCGAGTCAAAGGACAAGTCACAAATGTGTGTCTCTCGGGAAGCCCGGAGCTGGTTCACAAGAGCAGGGAAACAATTCTTAATGATACGCCACTAGCACTGGTAAGGCCGACCCTCGTTATGTATATCCCTTGGTGTGCTAATAGGTCGATAGCGTTGTGCTATTGTAGACGTGGATGGTGAACTCGTCATCGATACCGAGGCGACAGCCTTGAAATCCCATGTGGTTGAGCATCTGGACCAAATTGCTACTTTCTGTGGAGTAGACATCTTCCTACTTGGACCGAAATTTACATCCCTGACTGACGGACTGAATGGTAATGGTGATGCGGGTCGGGATCAAAGATGGAGAGTAGCCATTTACGGAGATATGGAAAGTGCCGAGCATGCTAAGACCAGGGTTTTGATCTTCATTGACAGACTGGTAAGAGATTATAGGGAAAAGCTAGTGTTGCACGTCTAACAAAATGTAGCTCGGCCGTGTTGTCGATGGTACGATGCTTGAATTATCCCTCCACACCGTGGTATGCGGTCGATCCCGAAAAAATATCAAAATTATCGAGTCGGCTACCAATACAGCAATCTATTTCCCTCCACCGTTTTCACAGGTCTACAGGTACTGCCCTTCAGGAGCTCAGAGACGAAATCCGGAGGAAATTTTCATTACTGGGGAAACACCACAGAATATTGCCATGGCCAAGCAAAAGATACATGATCTCGTCAGCCGTACCCGAGTATTCATGAAGGACGCCGTTGTCTCAGCCGCTAAAATCGACAGTATTCTTTTGAGTAGATTGGACAAGGTTCGGAAGATCATGGAGACAAATGGCACTTTTATCCAATTCCCAGCCTTAGCGTCTCAACGCAACATGATCCGAATCCAAGGCGTCGAAGGACTTCACGTAGAGCGAACTGTTCGAGATATCATGTCCCTAGTGAGTCGGGTAGCTTTCGAGTGATGAGGGCGATGCTAATGGCTTTGCTAGACCGGCCAGTTCTACAGTGCTACATGGTGGATTCAACAGGTCGATACAAATCGCCTCCCTGCTCCGGTCGAGATCCGAACTATGCTTTCTGACATTTGCGCGAACTCGGACGCTGATGTATCATTTGACAAACTGACCTTTTCAATTACAGGCTCTGATGATGCAGTGAAGGCGGCATTGATGGTCATTTCCGATATTAGATTCGTTACCAGATCTCAATACACCATCCGCGTCAAAATCGAGCTTGCCAATGAGCACAAGGAATTCGTCAGTGGGAAGAAAAATGGCAAAATCAACAAGATCATGGGACAAAGCAGTGTTCAGATCATTTTTGATGGTTTCAACGAGTACAACTTCAATATCGACGTCTGTGCTGGAAACTACGATGCCATGAAATCTGGATTAGTCTTGGTTGAGCAGGAAATGCCGGCTTCAATCTCGTTCCATGTTCCCGACCAATATCACAAGCGTATTATAGGCATTGGCGGACAACACATCCAACGCATCATGAAAAAGCACTCTGTTTTTGTCAAATTCTCCAATGCGATGGATCGTG